CAGTTGAACAGTCTTGTGCCCCTGACACTTGTTGTGTTGTATCTCAGTGCACTCGTGGCGCCCCTGCTTTTAACTGGGGGAATGTTGCAACTCCTGCCGAATCTTTGCAGGGAGTGACTTTCGTGTGCAGATTTGGGACTAGTCCCTCTTGGATTTTCCAAGTGTATATTATCGTGTATCTTTCTCGCCTGCGTTCCGGAGAATACAAATCAAGGACCTTCAACCGTTCCCGGTAATTTAGGTGCTTTATCGTACTTATGTGTGCCGTGAAAGTTCTTTGTACACTCTCCAGGTCTGCAATGTCACCAGCCTTCAAGGCCTTCAGGGCAGTTAGTATACAGCAACATTCCAGCCTAGAGTGAACAAGCTATTTGAAAATATTCATCATGGTCTTGGCGTCCCTAGTTTTGAAGGTTCTCATTATCCATCCCAGATAATCCATCCCAGATAATCCAGATAATCATTTTTCTAGCAGATGTGTTACATACATTGTTGTGATCTCTGGAAGTGAGATTCTTTGACATTATCACTCCCAGGTCCTTCACATTAGTTTTTTCGATGTGCTTTGTGACTGGAATTTGTTTTATACTCCGATACAGTTTTAATTTCCTCGAGTTTCCCATATCGGAGTAATTTAAATTTCTCTTCAATGAACTTCATATTGTTTTCCGTTGTTCATTTACAGATTTTGTTGATGTCAGCTTGAAGTCTCACAGTGTCTTCGAGCAGACATCAACCTCAATAAGTCAAACACATAATGTTCAAGACTGTGACAGTAAGACTGATCACATTAAATTTAGTAGGATTATCATCTGTGTGTCTGACCAGCTGCCAGAAGTACTTGTCACCAAGCCTTTGTCTGACCAGCTGCCAGAAGTACTTTTCACCAAGCCTTTGTCTGACCAGCTGCCAGAAGTACTTTTCACCAAGCCTTTGTCTGACCAGCTGCCAGAAGTACTTTTCACCAAGCCTTTGTCTGACCAGCTGCCAGAAGTACTTGTCACCAAGCCTTTGTCTGACCAGCTGCCAGAAGTACTTTTCACCAAGCCTTTGTCTGACCAGCTGCCAGAAGTACTTGTCACCAAGCCTTTGTCTGACCAGCTGCCAGAAGTACTTGTCACCAAGCCTTTGTCTGACCAGCTGCCAGAAGTACTTGTCACCAAGCCTTTGTCTGACCAGCTGCCAGAAGTACTTGTCACCAAGCCTTTGTCTGACCAGCTGCCAGAAGTACTTGTCACCAAGCCTTTGTCTGACCAGCTGCCAGAAGTACTTTTCACCAAGCCTTTGTCTGACTAGCTGCCAGAAGTACTTGTCACCAAGCCTTTGTCTGACCAGCTGCCAGAAGTACTTTTCACCAAGCCTTTGTCTGACTAGCTGCCAGAAGTACTTTTCACCAAGCCTTTGTCTGACCAGCTGCCAGAAGTACTTTTCACCAAGCCTTTGTCTGACCAGCTGCCAGAAGTACTTGTCACCAAGCCTTTGTCTGACCAGCTGCCAGAAGTACTTGTCACCAAGCCTTTATCTGACCAGCTGCCAGAAGTACTTGTCACCAAGCCTTTGTCTGACCAGCTGCCAGAAGTATTTGTCACCAAGCCTTTGTCTGACCAGCTGCCAGAAGTACTTGTCACCAAGCCTTTGTCTGACCAGCTGCCAGAAGTACTTGTCACCAAGCCTTTGTCTGACCAGCTGCCAGAAGTACTTGTCACCAAGCCTTTGTCTGACCAGCTGCCAGAAGTACTTGTCACCAAGCCTTTGTCTGACCAGCTGCCAGATGTACTTGTCACCAAGCCTTTGTCTGACCAGCTGCCAGAAGTACTTTTCACCAAGCCTTTGTCTTAGTTATTTAGTTTAATATGTTTATTATGCACCCCATACCCATCCTGTGGGTGGTAGTCACCCCATACCCATCCTGTGGGTGGTAGTCACCCCATACCCATCCTGTGGGTGGTAGTCACCCCATACCTATCCTGTGGGTGGTAGTCACCCCATACCCATCCTGTGGGTGGTAGTCACCCCATACCCATCCTGTGGGTGGTAGTCACCCCATACCCATCCTGTGGGTGGTAGTCACCCCATACCCATCCTGTGGGTGGTAGTCACCCCATACCCATCCTGTGGGTGGTAGTCACCCCATACCCATCCTGTGGGTGGTAGTCACCCCATACCTATCCTGTGGGTGGTAGTCACCCCATACCCATCCTGTGGGTGGTAGTCACCCCATACCCATCCTGTGGGTGGTAGTCATCCCATACCCATCCTGTGGGTGGTAGTCACCCCAAACCCATCCTGTGGGTGGTAGTCACCCCAAACCCATCCTGTGGGTGGTAGTCACCCCAAACCCATCCTGTGGGTGGTAGTCACCCCATACCTATCCTGTGGGTGGTAGTCACCCCATACCTATCCTGTGGGTGGTAGTCACCCCATACCCATCCTGTGGGTGGTAGTCACCCCAAACCCATCCTGTGGGTGGTAGTCACCCCAAACCCATCCTGTGGGTGGTAGTCACCCCATACCCATCCTGTGGGTGGTAGTCACCCCATACCCATCCTGTGGGTGGTAGTCACCCCATACCCATCCTGTGGGTGGTAGTCACCCCATACCTATCCTGTGGGTGGTAGTCACCCCATACCCATCCTGTGGGTGGTAGTCACCCCATACCCATCCTGTGGGTGGTAGTCACCCCATACCCATCCTGTGGGTGGTAGTCACCCCATACCCATCCTGTGGGTGGTAGTCACCCCATACCCATCCTGTGGGTGGTAGTCACCCCATACCCATCCTGTGGGTGGTAGTCACCCCATACCCATCCTGTGGGTGGTAGTCACCCCATACCCATCCTGTAGGTGGTAGTCACCCCATACCCATCCTGTGGGTGGTAGTCACACCATACCCATCCTGTGGGTGGTAGTCACACCATACCCATCCTGTGGGTGGTAGTCACCCCATACCCATCCTGTGGGTGGTAGTCACCCCATACCCATCCTGTGGGTGGTAGTCACCCCATACCCATCCTGTGGGTGGTAGTCACCCCATACCCATCCTGTGGGTGGTAGTCACCCCATACCCATCCTGTGGGTGGTAGTCACCCCAAACCCATCCTGTGGGTGGTAGTCACCCCATACCCATCCTGTGGGTGGTAGCCACCCCATACCCATCCTGTGGGTGGTAGTCACCCCATACCCATCCTGTGGGTGGTAGTCACCCCATACCCATCCTGTGGGTGGTAGTCACCCCATACCCATCCTGTGGGTGGTAGTCACCCCAAACCCATCCTGTGGGTGGTAGTCACCCCAAACCCATCCTGTGGGTGGTAGTCGCCCCAAACCCATCCTGTGGGTGGTAGTCACCCCAAACCCATCCTGTGGGTGGTAGTCACCCCATACCCATCCTGTGGGCGGTAGTCACCCCATACCCATCCTGTGGGTGGTAGTCACCCCATACCCATCCTGTGGGTGGTAGTCACCCCATACCCATCCTGTGGGTGGTAGTCATCCCATACCCATGCTGTGGGTGGTAGTCATCCCATACCCATCCTGTGGGTGGTAGTCACACTATACCCATCCTGTGGGCGGTAGTCAAAAGATTACAGAGGTACATAATGTGTCCAGGGACTGGGCCCCAAAGTTTTAATAGCTGAACAAGTTACAAAGGTACTGAACTCCAGGTAGATCTGGTCACAATCATGACCAAGTTACAAAGGTAATGATCTCCAGGTAGATCTGGTCACAATCATGAACAAGTTACAAAGGTAATGATCTCCAGGTAGATCTGGTCACAATCATGAACAAGTTACAAAGGTACTGATCTCCAGGTAGATCTGGTCACAATCATGAACAAGTTACAAAGGTAATGATCTCCAGGTAGATATGGTCACAATCATGAACAAGTTACAAAGGTTATGATCTCCAGGTAGATCTGGTCACAATCATGTATAAGTTACAAAGGTACTGATCTCCAGGTAGATCTGGTCACAATCATGAACAAGTTACAAAGGTAATGATCTCCAGGTAGATCTGGTCACAATCATGAACAAGTTACAAAGGTAATGGTCTCCAGGTAGATCTGGTCACAATCATGAACAAGTTACAAAGGTAATGATCTCCAGGTAGATCTGGTCACAATCATGAACAAGTTACAAAGGTAATGGTCTCCAGGTAGATCTGGTCACAATCATGAACAAGTTACAAAGGTAATGGTCTCCAGGTAGATCTGGTCACAATCATGAACAAGTTACAAAGGTAATGATCTCCAGGTAGATCTGGTCACAATCATGAACAAGTTACAAAGGTAATGGTCTCCAGGTAGATCTGGTCACAATCATGAACAAGTTACAAAGGTAATGATCTCCAGGTAGATCTGGTCACAATCATGAACAAGTTACAAAGGTAATGGTCTCCAGGTAGATCTGGTCACAATCATGAACAAGTTACAAAGGTAATGATCTCCAGGTAGATCTGGTCACAATCATGAACAAGTTACAAAGGTAATGATCTCCAGGTAGATATGGTCACAATCATGAACAAGTTACAAAGGTTATGATCTCCAGGTAGATCTGGTCACAATCATGTATTAGTTACAAAGGTACTGATCTCCAGGTAGATCTGGTCACAGTCATGAACAATCTGCCTGGCTGTGGCTATTTTATGAACAGTATTATGTGGAAGTAAGTCTAATTACTTTGATCATCGTCAATTTCTTCTAATCATTTTGAGGAGTAAATGCGTCAGTGTACAAGAAGTTAAGATCGCAATTATTAGCCATAAATATGTTTAAAATGCTAGTATTACTTCGTATATGTAGTTACTACTTATGAATCTGAAGACGACCTGGTGTAACATGTTATCATTCCTAGACGACCTAGTGTAATGTGTTATCATTTTTAGACGACCTGGTGTAATATGTTATCATTTTTAGACGACCTGGTGTAATATGTTATCATTTTTAGACGACCTGGTGTAGTATTTGTGTTATCATTCTTAAACTTGATTTTTCTGATGCAGGAAAACCTGACACACCATCAACCGGAGTAGTTGGCGCAGAAAATAGCGAGCAACTAGCAGCCACCAGCAACCAACACCTACTAGCAACTAGCACCTACCAGCAAGCAGTCACAGTTACAGTGGTTGTGTCCAACATGCATGGCGGGTGGTTGCGGGGGGTGGAGGTGGTGGTCGGACTGCTGCTGCTGCTGCACTTCTCAGCAGCTGCAACACCAGAAACACTGGATGCTCAGGATCTAGGTAGGTATTATCCACTAGGTACCCCCGAGACTAGTCTAGTAGAAGGATGGTCGAACCAGGAAAAAACAATAATCCAACAGAAATAATTTCTTCGCAATTTAATGTATAATTATGTCCTAAATTATATATAATATACATAGCAGCATATGTGTAGATTACCAACGATGACCCAAAATAGTCTCGGTGGGTCTAGCTTCGGGGTTTTTTATTTTCGAGAAAATAAATTATGGGCCTGATGCCGTCTTCATGCACTACTTATGCCGTGCCGAGTAAGTCGAAATGAGCAGTTTGGCCTAAAAGCCATAATTCTGACCATAATTCTGCCAAATTCAATCTGAACATAACGAAAAATATATATATATCTGTAGTCATGAGCGATCATGACTGGTTAAGTGTTGCTGCAGGATTCACCTCGATGTCATGCACGATATTGCTCATTTTAAACCATTTGTCGTGACAATAACACTATTAGTGCCACAAAGACTATTTCCTCTTGGCTGACAGTTGCACCGCATAAATTTAAGGACTAGCCAGCAGTGTTTACAAGCTTGGCTGCCTCTTGTGTGGAATTTTCCTCTCTGTGAATGACACCTTTTATTGATAATCAAATCTGCCTTATTTTGAAAATAGGTCACATTCTTCTTTCCAGTGATTTCACCTTAGTGCTCGTGTAGCCTCTGCTGTGTAGCCTCTGCTGTGTAGCCTCTGCTGTGTAGCCTCTGCTGTGTAGCCTCTGCTGTGTAGCCTCTGCTGTGTAGCCTATGCTGTGTAGCCTCTGCTGTGTAGCCTCTGCTGTGTAGCCTATGCTGTGTAGCCTCTGCTGTGTAGCCTATGCTGTGTAGCCTATGCTGTGTAGCCTCTGCTGTGTAGCCTCTGCTGTGTAGCCTCTGCTGTGTAGCCTCTGCTGTGTAGCCTATGCTGTGTAGCCTCTGCTGTGTAGCCTCTGCTGTGTAGCCTCTGCTGTGTAGCCTATGCTGTGTAGCCTCTGCTGTGTAGCCTCTGCTGTGTAGCCTCTGCTGTGTAGCCTCTGCTGTGTAGCCTCTGCTGTGTAGCCTCTGCTGTGTAGCCTCTGCTGTGTAGCCTATGCTGTGTAGCCTCTGCTGTGTAGCCTCTGCTGTGTAGCCTCTGCTGTGTAGCCTCTGCTGTGTAGCCTCTGCTGTGTAGCCTATGCTGTGTAGCCTCTGCTGTGTAGCCTCTGCTGTGTAGCCTCTGCTGTGTAGCCTATGCTGTGTAGCCTCTGCTGTGTAGCCTCTGCTGTGTAGCCTCTGCTGTGTAGCCTCTGCTGTGTAGCCTATGCTGTGTAGCCTCTGCTGTGTAGCCTATGCTGTGTAGCCTCTGCTGTGTAGCCTCTGCTGTGTAGCCTATGCTGTGTAGCCTCTGCTGTGTAGCCTATGCTGTGTAGCCTCTGCTGTGTAGCCTCTGCTGTGTAGCCTCTGCTGTGTAGCCTCTGCTGTGTAGCCTATGCTGTGAGCCTGGTGTAGCCTCTGCTGTGTAGCCTCTGCTGTGTAGCCTCTGCTGTGTAGCCTCTGCTGTGTAGCCTCTGCTGTGTAGCCTCTGCTGTGTAGCCTGCTGGTGCCTCTGTGTAGCCTCTGCTGTGTAGCCTCTGCTGTGTAGCCTCTGCTGTGTAGCCTCTGCTGTGTAGCCTCTGCTGTGTAGCCTCTGCTGTGTAGCTCTGCTGTGTAGCCTCTGCTGTGTAGCCTCTGCTGTGTAGCCTCTGCTGTGTAGCCTCTGCTGTGTAGCCTCTGCTGTGTAGCCTCTGCTGTGTAGCCTCTGCTGTGTAGCCTCTGCTGTGTAGCCTCTGCTGTGTAGCCTCTGCTGTGTAGCCTCTGCTGTGTAGCCTCTGCTGTGTAGCCTCTGCTGTGTAGCCTCTGCTGTGTAGCTCTTGCCTGTGTAGCCTCTGCTGTGTAGCCTCTGCTGTGTAGCCTCTGCTGTGTAGCCTCTGCTGTGTAGCCTCTGCTGTGTAGCCTCTGCTGTGTAGCCTCTGCTGTGTAGCCTCTGCTGTGTAGCCTCTGCTGTGTAGCCTCTGCTGTGTAGCCTCTGCTGTGTAGCCTCTGCTGTGTAGCCTCTGCTGTGTAGCCTCTGCTGTGTAGCCTATGCTGTGTAGCCTCTGCTGTGTAGCCTCTGCTGTGTAGCCTTGCTGTGTAGCCTCTGCTGTGTAGCCTCTGCTGTGTAGCCTCTGCTGTGTAGCCTCTGCTGTGTAGCCTCTGCTGTGTAGCCTCTGCTGTGTAGCCTCTGCTGTGTAGCCTCTGCGTGTAGCCTCTGATGTGTAGCCTCTGCTGTGTAGCCTCTGCTGTGTAGCCTTGCTGTGTAGCCTCTGCTGTGTAGCCTCTGATGTGTAGCCTCTGATGTGTAGCCTCTGCTGTGTAGCCTCTGCTGTGTAGCCTCTGCTGTGTAGCCTCTGCTGTGTAGCCTCTGCTGTGTAGCCTCTGATGTGTAGCCTCTGCTGTGTAGCCTCTGCTGTGTAGCCTCTGATGTGTAGCCTCTGCTGTGTAGCCTCTGCTGTACTCACCTAATTGTGGTTGCATGGGTCGAGACTCAGCTCCTGGTCCCGCCTCTTCACTGACCACTACTAGGTCCTCCCTCTCCCTGCTTTATCATACCTCGTCTTAAAACTATGTATAGTCCCTGCCTCCACTACATCGCTTGCCAGACTATTCTACTTCCTAACTACTCTATGACTGAAAAAATACTTCCTAACATCCTTTTGACTCATCTGAGTCTTCAGCTTCAAATTGTGACCCCTTGTTTCTGTGTCCCATCTCTGGAACATCCTGCCTCTGTCCACCTTGTCTATTCCACGCAGTATTTTGTATGTCGTTATCATGTCTCCTCTGACTCTCCTGTCCTCCAGTGTAGTCAGACCGATTTCCCTTAACCTTTCTTCATAGAACATTCCCCTTAGTTCTGGAACCAGTCTTGTTGCAAACCTTTGCACTTTCTCTAATTTCTTTACGTGTTTGACCAGGTGTGGGTTCCAAACTGGTGCTGCTTAATCCAGTATGGGCCTGACGTACACAGTGTATAAAGTCTTGAACGATTCCTTACTGAGGTACCGGAACGCTATTCTCAGGTTTGCCAAGCGCCCATATGCCGCAGCAGTTATCTGGTTAATGTGTGCTTCTGGCGATGTACTCGGTATTATACTCACTCCTAGGTCTTTCTCCTTGAGTGAGGTTTGCAGCCTTTGGCCTCATAGCCTATACTCTGCAGTCTTCTTTGCCCTCCTCCGATCTTCATGACTTCGCATTTGGCGGGGTTAAATTCTAGGAGCCAGTTTCTGGACCACGCATCCAGCCTGTCCAGGTCTCTTTGTAGACCTGTCTGGTCCGCGTCTGATTTAATTCTCCTCATTAACTTCACGTCATCTGCAAACAGGGACACTTCTGAGTCTATCCCTTCCGTCATGTCGTTCACATATACCAAGAATAGCACTGGTCCCAGGACTGACCCCTGTGGGACCCCGCTCGTCACTGGCGCCCACTGTGATACCTCATCACGGACCACGACTCGCTGTTGCCTCCCTGTTAGGTATTCTCTGATCCATTGCAGTGCCCTTCCTGTTATATGTGCCTGTTCCTCTAGCTTCTGTACTAATCTCTTGTGAGGAACTGTGTCGAAGGCCTTCTTGCTGTGTAGCCTCTGCTGTGTAGCCTCTGCTGTGTAGCCTCTGCTGTGTAGCCTCTGCTGTGTAGCCTCTGCTGTGTAGCCTCTGCTGTGTAGCCTCTGCTGTGTAGCCTCTGCTGTAAATCTCATTATAATCTGTTTCAACCACTTGTGCCTGATCTTAGTCAATAATGTATAACTCGGCTTCACAATCATTCTCAAGCCATCTACATAATTCCTCGGACCCGTCATTCATTTTATGCATTGGTCGACAAGCAGGCTTTGAGGTTGGTAAAGTATGCATGTATACCTGATAATACTGCAGATAGTATCTCCTCTCTGCTCTCTGCTGCCACTAAATCGATTCATCTCTCAAGTCAGATTTGAACGTCAGTTGTCCAGGAGTCAGCACGATTGTAACGTTGCTCTGCAATGGTCCTTCCGATGGTAACTGCTCGTATAAGTATTGCAGTCTCTGCCTGGGTACTTGAGGGTCAAGAACCGTCACAACAGTCGGTGTTTACATCGACCATCACTGCCATACACCTCCTTGGAGCTCATTCCATTACCGGTGTATTTCATCCAAGAAATAGCATGTATAAGAACCTTCCCCATTGCTGAGCTTTGAGCCTTGTGTGAAAGGTGACTGTGTGGTTCACTGTCTCCACGATTTTGTATTTAAGGCGCGTGTCCAGGATCTTTCTACTATTACTGGGTCCTGATTCTTGAAATGTTCGAGGCAAATAAGGTTTTATCAGATAATACGTCCATTAACACGCACACCAGCCTCTGATGGTTGTTTTTCAGTGTGTTTACTCACGATGTTGCCAATATTCAGTTTACATCCCATTCACACACGCCACAGATCTTGAAACAGAAAAAAATCCTTTTAAGTTATACACAAATAATCCGCTTATAGGAGACTGAAACTTACGACGGCGTTTAGGTCCGACTTGAACCATTAATCAGTCACAGAGAAGTGTGAAGGGTGATGATGTTGATGATAAATTCACCAGGAACGAAGTCCTGATACGGGTCTTTGCCTGGTGGTGACCCGTTCTGGCTCCTGGAGTGTCGGAGTTTGTACAAGAAATGTACTGCTTCCAGCATTATGGCGGGGGCAGCCCTATGATGAGGACACGGGGAGTCTTGTTCAGGTCAAGTGTAGTACCGTTTACAATCCTATAATGTGAAGGGAAGGAGCTAGAGTATGTATAGGGGGGGGGAGACGGAAGAGGTAGAACGGGAGGAGGTAGTAGTAGTAATAGCAGTTAGTAGTAGCAGTAGTAGCTACACTGAAGTAACTGGTTCATCCACGGTGATTTGTATTGTTGCTACACTGACGCTAATATTTCTTGACACACTCAAGGTTTATATTCACTCCAGCTAAAGTTCCTGACATTTTTATAGATGCTCATTTTTTTTTAAGTTTCCCTGTGCTAGCATCGTCACAAAGCAACAATCACAACTTCTCTGCCTCTCCTCGTGTAGCCATTACAAATAATTACCAACTACCATGGTATGAACCTTGGTAATATATACAGACAAATCGGTTTAGAAAGACATGTAAGCAAATATTAGGACATATTTACTAGAAAACGTTTCAGTCCTGGGACTTTGATCATTTCTAACACACAGAGGTACTGGTAGGTTGGCCAGGACGGGTCCTGGCCCGGGCCAGGTTTAGGCGAATAATTTTTAGTGGGGTTGGATTTGACAAGGACCTGTCAGGTATGGACCAGTAGGTATACTGCAGTGCTCTTTCTTATGTTCTTAAGATATCCTATAGCTCGATTGGTATCGCACTCACATTGAAATCCGTGGATCGATCCCCGGTACGGGTGGAAACATTAAGACGTGTTTCTTTAAGACACCTGCTGTCCATGTTCACCTAGCAGTAAAATAGGTACCTGGGTGTTAGTCAACTGGTGTGGGTCGCATCCTGGGAACAAACAGACATAATTTGCAGGAAATGTTCAGGATAACAAGTGACATTCTATATAGTAGTATGTCACTGATGTCAGCTATGGTCTGTATACCTTGTACATGTACTGGTAGAAATAAAGATTATTATTATTATTATTATTATTATTATTATTATTATTATTATTATTATTATTATTATTATTATTATTATTGTTATTATTATGAATCAACTTTGCATTACAGAGAAGGAAGCGCTGGGGCTGCTGACGCCTCTCATGGGTAACGTGGACGTGGCACTACGTAAACTCATCGACAACAGCAAGGTTGGCATGGGTGTCACCACCTTCATCAACATCGTTGCTAAACGGGTAAGACAACAACAGTGGAGTGGAGCACTACAGCAAGCCTACTGGTCCATGGTAGGCCGGGTCTAACTCACACTCACTCGTGTGCCTGTTCAACTTATTTCTACAACTGTGTGTTTATTTTGCTGTAATTAGGTGTGAACAATTAAGACACGTGTATATCCTGGTGTGAACAATTAAGACACGTGTATATCCTGGTGTGAACAATTAAGACACGTGTATATCCTGATGTGAACAATTAAGACATGTGTATATCCTGATGTGAACAATTGAGACACGTGTATATCCTGATGTGAACAATTAAGACACGTGTATATCCTGATGTGAACAATTAAGACACGTGTATATCCTGATGTGAACAATTGAGACACGTGTATATCCTGATGTGAACAATTAAGACACGTGTATATCCTGATGTGAACAATTGAGACACGTGTATATCCTGATGTGAACAATTAAGACACGTGTATATCCTGATGTGAACAATTAAGACACGTGTATATCCTGATGTGAACAATTGAGACACGTGTATGTCCTGATGTGAACAATTAAGACACGTGTATATCCTGATGTGAACAATTGAGACACGTGTATATCCTGATGTGAACAATTAAGACACGTGTATATCCTGATGTGAACAATTAAGACACGTGTATATCCTGATGTTTTAGAAAGACACGTAAGCAAACACTATGACATATTTATTAGAAAACGTTTCGGTCCTGGGACCTTGATCACTTCTAACATACAGAGGTAGAAAGACATTATATATATAGGCGGAGAGTGAGGTGTGACGCACGTGACCTGAGGAATGTCATAAGAACATAAGAATGGAAGAACACTGTAGAAGGCCTACTGGCCCATGCGTGTTGTTAGGTTGGTGCTGCTTAAGTATCATGTATGCACCAACCTAACAACACAGGAGTCACATGATTTCATCATCTACCCGTCCTCATCATAGGTAGAGGTTGTTTTGATAAAGACCTGCCTCGCATGAGCCAGTAGGCCTTCTACAGTGTTCTTCCATTCTTATGTTCTTATGACATTCCTCAGGTCACGTGCGTCACATCTCACTCTCCGCCTATATATATAATGTCTTTCTACCTCTGTATGTTAGAAGTGATCAAGGTCCCAGGACCGAAACGTTTTCTAATAAATATGTTATAGTGTTTGCTTACGTGTCTTTCTAAACCAACTTGTCGGTATTTATTACCAAGGTTTATACCATATCCTGATGTGAACAATTAAGACACGTGTATATCCTGGTGTGAACAATTAAGACACGTGTATATCCTGGTGTGAACAATTAAGACACGTGTATATCCTGGTGTGAACAATTAAGACACGTGTATATCCTGGTGTGAACAATTAAGACACGTGTATATCCTGGTGTGAACAATTAAGACACGTGTATATCCTGGTGTGAACAATTAAGACATGTGTATATCCTGGTGTGAACAATTAAGACATGTGTATATCCTGATGTGAACAATTAAGACACGTGTATATCCTGGTGTGAACAATTAAGACACGTGTATATCCTGGTGTGAACAATTAAGACACGTGTATATCCTGATGTGAACAATTAAGACACGTGTATATTCTGGTGTGAACAATTAAGACATGTGTATATCCTGGTGTGAACAATTAAGACGTGTGTATATCCTGGTGTGAACAATTAAGACACGTGTATATCCTGGTGTGAACAATTAAGACACGTGTATATCCTGATGTGAACAATTAAGACACGTATGTATTCTGATGTGAACAATTAAGACATGTGTATATCCTGATGTGAACAATTAAGACATGTGTATATCCTGGTGTGAACAATTAAGACACGTGTATATCCTGATGTGAACAATTAAGACATGTGTATATCCTGGTGTGAACAATTAAGACATGTGTATATCCTGATGTGAACAATTAAGACACGTGTATATCCTGGTGTGAACAATTAAGACACGTGTATATCCTGATGTGAACAATTAAGACACGTGTATATCCTGGTGTGAACAATTAAAACACATGTATATCCTGATGTGAACAATTAAGACATGTGTATATCCTAGTGTGAACAATTAAGACACGTGTATATCCTGGTGTGAACAATTAAGACACGTGTAAATCCTGTGTGGACTCCGACACTTTAATTTTGAGGTAAATTTCAGAGCCAGATCTTCAATGTCGCTACGACCTCTGTTCCATCCTCTCTACTTGCTGATCTGTACAGGCAGGACCCTGTTTACAGCGCTTCGTTTTACGGTATTTCACTAATGCAGCGGTTTTCAAGTGTACCCATCGTTTATTTATTCATTTATTTATTTATTCCTACAATAAATACATCCAACACTCACTATAAGCTAAGGACGAAAATATTTTAAGTAATGTGTGTACTGTATATGCATTTTTTAAGCCGATCTATATTGATCACTTAATATATGATAGTGTAAATATATTATTAGGCTTTTATAGGCACTTTAAAGGGAAGAAAAGGTATGCTTCACTTTACAGCAGTAGACCAGGACCTAACGTGCTGTATAAGCGGGACCCTCCCATACAGCAGTGGTCTGGAACCTAACCTGCTGTATAAGTGGGGCCCTCCTGTACAGCAGTAGCTTGGAGCCTAACCTGCTGTATAAGTGGGGCCCTCCTGTACAGCAGTAGCCTGGAACCTAACCTGCTGTATAAGTGGGGCCCTCCTGTACAGCAGTAGCCTGGAGCCTAACCTGCTGTATAAGTGGGGCCCTCCTGTACAGCAGTAGCCTGGAACCTAACCTGCTGTGTAACTGGGGCCCTCCTGTACAGCAGTAGCCTGGAACCTAACCTGCTGTATAAGTGGGGCCCTCCTGTACAGCAGTAGCCTGGAACCTAACCTGCTGTATAAGTGGGGCCCTCCTGTACAGCAGTAGCCTGGAACCTAACCTGCTGTATAAGTGGGGCCCTCCTGTACAGCAGTAGCCTGGAGCCTAACCTGCTATATAAGTGGGGCCCTCCTGTACAGCAGTAGCCTGGAACCTAACCTGCTGTATAAGTGGGGCCCTCCTGTACAGCAGTGGCCTGGAGCCTAACCTGCTGTATAAGTGGGGCCCTCCTGTACAGCAGTAGCCTGGAACCTAACCTGCTGTATAAGTGGGGCCCTCCTGTACAGCAGTAGCCTGGAACCTAACCTGCTGTATAAGTGGGGCCCTCCTGTATAAGGAATATTTTGAAAGTGTTGTACAGTACTTGCAACTATCTGGGTACATCCTGACTCACGAAATCGTAATGACACGATTGCAAACAAACCATACCCCGGCCGGGATTGAACCCGCGGTCATAGAGTCTCAAAACTCCAGCCCGTCGCGTTAGCCACTAGACCAGCTAGCCACAATAAGATTCGTCCAACTAGGTATATTTCTACACCATAGGAAGGTTAGCACAGGCACCACTGTGACCACAAATGCAAGTTTTTACAGACGAATCTCCAGCTAGCGTGGCCGTGACGAACTCTAGCTCAAGTCCCTTCACTGCCGTCAACATGACTATGGTGTAGAAATATACCTAGTTGGACCAATCTTATTGTGGCTAGCTGGTCTAGTGGCTAACGCGACGGGCTGGAGTTTTGAGACTCTATGACCGCGGGTTCAATCCCGGCCGGGGTATGGTTTGTTTGCAATCGTGTCATTACGATTTCGTGAGTCATGTTGACGGCAGTGAAGGGACTTGAGCTAGAGTTCGTCACGGCCGCGCTAGCTGGAGATTCGTCTGTAAAAACTTGCATTTGTGGTCACAGTGGTGCCTGTGCTAACCTTCCTATGGTGTAGAAATATACCTAGTTGGATGAATCTTATTGTGGCTAGCTGGTCTAGTGGCTAACGCGACGGGCTGGAGTTCAATCCCGGCCGGGGTATGGTTTGGGTACATCCTCCTCTCTGACTTTACTCTGTGCACGATATCTTCACTGTCTCCTCAGTATCTTGTTCTTGTTAATCAATATATGCAGTAATACACAGATAACCCTTACTAAAGAGAAAGAAATGTTTCCATCCGACTTAGGCCATTAAACAGTCACACGCTATCACACAAAATAAACCCCACAATCACATAACTACTATTACCATTACATGTATATCCTGTATTCATTACATGTATATTCTTCTGTATTTTTCACGTGAATATTCTCTTGTATTCATTGCATGCATTAAATATATTGATGTTTCAGGTGTTCAACCTATCTCCGAATAATGACAACTTCGGCTCGTCCATTCCCGCGGCTGACAGGAAGTTGCTGGCATTGTTTGAAGTTCTCTCACGGCGCTTGGACCAGATGGAATATGGAGTAGGTCGAGCAGAATGGGGGATCATGGGTTAGATATAGCATTATGGGGCATATGGGGCGAGTATGGGAAAATGGGACACATATGGGGCGAGTATGGGAAAATGGGACACATATGGGGTGAGTATGGGAGAATGGGACACATATGGGATGGATATAGCAGTCATGTTACACCTGGGTCACATTCACGTCACACTCACTCATGTTACACCTGGGTCACATTCACGTCACACTCACTCATGTTACACCTGGGTCACATTCACATCACACTGTCAGTCATGTTACACCTGGGTCACATTCACATCACACTCACTCATGTTACACCTGGGTCACATTCACGTCACACTGTCAGTCATGTTACACCTGGGTCACATTCACGTCACACTCACTCATGTTACACCTGGGTCACATTCACATCACACTCACTCATGTTACACCTGGGTCACATTCACATCACACTGTCAGTCATGTTACACCTGGGTCACATTCACGTCACACTGTCAGTCATGTTACACCTGGGTCACATTCACTTCACTCTTTCAGTCATGTTACACCTGGGTCACATTCACTTCACTCTTTCAGTCATGTTACACCTGGGTCACATTCACGTCACACTCACTCATGTTACACCTGGGTCACATTCACATCACACTCACTCATGTTACACCTGGGTCACATTCACATCACACTGTCAGTCATGTTACACCTGGGTCACATTCACGTCACACTGTCAGTCATGTTACACCTGGGTCACATTCACATCACACTGTCAGTCATGTTACACCTGGTCACATTCACGTCACACTGTCAGTCATGTTACACCTGGGTCACATTCACGTCACACTGTCAGTCATGTTACACCTGGGTCACATTCACATCACACTGTCAGTCATGTTACACCTGGGTCACATTCACGTCACACTGTCAGTCATGTTACACCTGGGTCACATTCACGTCACACTGTCAGTCATGTTACACCTGGGTCACATTCACGTCACACTGTCAGTCATGTTACACCTGGGTCACATTCACATTACACTCACTCATGTTACACCTGGGTCACATTCACATCACACTGTCAGTCATTCAATTTACACGTAGCTAAGTAAGTTTATTTAGGTACAGGCACACATAAGCAAAAGTTACATAGTGACACATGTGTAAATTACCTAAGATGACTCAGAATAACATTCACATCACTCTGTCAATCAAGTTAAGGATTGTTATGTCTAGACAACAATTGAATAACAGTAAGACACAATACCGTGACTGGAACAATACACAAATAACCCTCACATAGGAGAGAGGAGCTTATGACGACGTTTCGGTCCGACTTAGACCATTTACAGGTTCAAAGACCCGACATGTTGTTAAATTAGACACATGTGCAACTCTTGGTTATCTTTATTGAGGAAACGTTTCGTCACACAGTGGCTTCATCAGTCCATACAAAGGATAAACTTGAAGAACAGGAGGAAAATGAGGTAATCAGTCCCTCAGCCTTGAGTCAATGTGATCAGTCCATCAATCTTGAATAGAATACGGCTTAGGAGCGGAGAAGCAGCTTGTAAACCGTATGGCAGGAGAGGTGCAGCAGTCGTAGGTGGTGTCACATTTGTCCAATGTGGAAGTAGGTCGTGACCAAGGGTTAGGCAAGCGAAGAATTCCCAAGTATTATGCAAAATCATGTCTCACATCATCAAAATCAATGATTTGTCCCTATATAGGCTTATTTGTACTGTGTTAATATATAACAGGCTATATAGAAACGAAGGATTCTTCTCTTATGTTGGTGCAGCATGGTTTTGGGCATTAGTGTCGCCTTCTTTAGAGGCTCTATGGTGTCACCCGGGGCGGCCCAAACCCCGCCCCCATTTTCTCTGAGAAAATTAAGGACATCATCAAGAGGGACATTGGTGAAGAGGGACTCAACGTCAAGACTAAGCATCTTACAGGTCGGGAGAGAGCGAACCCGTTCAATGAAGTCTTGAGAGTGACGAAGGTGGGCAGGAGAAAAAGTACTAAGAAAGGGAGTAAGGATTTTGGCCAACCAAGAAGCAAGAGAATAAGAGACAGAACCTCTAGAGGATATGAATCATAGTCGTGGCTTTGTCTCTAGATGTCTTCCTTTCTCATTACATTGTAAAATGCTCCAAACTTCAGAACACCCGTGACTTAACATGATTTTTTTTCTCCTTTTCTATCTCTTCCCTTTTCCTTTCTCCTCTTTCTTCTTTGGGTTTTCTTTCTTCTGCCTTGGGTGTTTCGTCTTTACTCCTTCCCATCCCCTGTGTTTTTGTTCCTACTCTTTGTGGGCCTCTAACTCCCTTGCAGTGCTCCTCTTTCTTGGTCTTTGACTCCACTACTACTACCTCTCTACTTCCTTTCCTACTACCTATCCTGTTCCGTTCCTGTCTGCTGGTCTATATATACTGCCTTCTTCTCTTCAAGTCGGTCCGAAACGTCGTCGTAAGCTCCTCTCTCCTATGTTCGGGTTATTTGTGTATAACCAGTAATTGGATGGGTGACTAAGTAAACACAGCCTCATCACTGTTTACTAAGACCCTAATAACTCACTAAATCTGGGTCAGGAATTTAGCTGTCCCTAAGGACTGTGGTTGATGTACTTGCTGAGGGCTGACAGTGCTGGTTGTTGTGGTTCTGCTTGTTGGGTTATCTGGCCGTCACCTGTGAACGCTGTAACAACTGATGATTTAGACACATGTGCAACAGTTGGGTATCTTTATTGTTGAAACCTTTGCCTACTCAGTAGGCTTCTTCAGTCAAATACAAAGGCAGCAGGTGTGGTAGTGAAAAAGATGATGTAATCAGTCTATCAACCTTGGAAAAATAGTATTTGAGGTGGACAGTCCCTGAGCCTGGAGAAGTGTTCAGCTCCATCCTCTGGAATGATATCATTTCATGGACTGTACACATCGACTCCAGTCTGAGGGACTGATTACCTAAAACTCCTCATCTTCCACCTTACTCTGCATTGGACTGAAGAAGCCACTAGCTGGCAAAACGTTTCCAGAATAAAAATACCCAAATGTTGCGCATATGTCTCATTTATCAGTGTTAGAGATTTTGTCCTAAATGCAATTCTTGGAGATGGAAATTTAATGTGTTTTAAAAGATGTTAGAAAACTTAGATTTATATGATTATTACCTCGTTTAAATACAGAATATCTAAAGGTTATAATCATAACTATAATTTTTAAAGTGGTGGAGAAGTAAGCCAGTGGAAGGTCTCAGGCAGATGATTAAAAGCTCCAGCTGTGGGTCATCATATAACTAAGACCCGCGTCAGGAACGCTTGTCCTGTTTCCTGACAAACCTAACCTAACCTAACCTAACCTAACCTAACCTAACCTAACCTGACCTAACCTAACCTAACCTAACCTAACCTAACCTAACCTAACCTAACCTGACCTAACCTAACCTAACCTAACCTAACCTAACCTAACCTAACCTAACCTAACCTGACCTAACCTAACCTAACCTAACCTAACCTACCTAACCTGACCTAACCTGACCTAACCTAACCTAACTAACCTAACCTAACCTAACCTAACCTGACCTAACCTGACCTAACCTAACCTAACCTAACCTAACCTAACCTAACCTGACCTAACCTAACCTAACCTAACCTAACCTAACATAACCTAACCTGACCTAACCTGACCTGACATAACCTAACCTAACCTAACCTAACCTGGCCTAACCTGACCTAACCTAACCTAACCTAACCTAACCTAACCTAACCTAACCTAACCTAACCTGACCTAACCCTAACCTAACCTACCACCTAATCTGACCTAACCTAACCTAACCTAACCTAACACTAATCGGACCTAACCTGACCTAACCTAACCTAACCTAACCATAAACCTAACCTAACCTAATCTGACCTAACTGACCTAACCTGACCTAATCTAACCTAACCTAACCTAACCTAACCTAACCTAACCTAACCTAACCTAACCTAATCTACTACCTCCTGCTAACCACCTACACCACTGACTACCTAACCTAACTAACCTAACCTAACTACCTAATCCTGACCTAACCTTTACCTAACCTACCACCTAACCTAACTGACCTAACCTACTAACCTAACCTGACCTAACCTGACCTAACGACCTAACCTAACCCTGACCTAACCTAACCTAACCTAACCTACTAACCTAACCTAACCTGACCTAACCTGACCTAACCTAACCTAACCTAACCTAACGTACTGACCTAAACTAACCTGACCTACCTAACCTAACCTAACCTAATGCAACCTAAACCTAACCTAACCTAACCTAACCTAACAACCTAACCTGACCTAACCTGAACCTGACCTAACCTGACCTGACCTAACCTAACCTAACCTAACCTAACTCTGCCTAACCTGACCTAACCTAACCTAACCTAACCTGACCTAACCTAACCTAACTGACCTAACCTGAACCTGACCTAACCTGACCTAACCTAACCTAACCTAACTACCTAACCTAACCTAAACCTAACCTAACCTGGACCTAACCTGACCTAACCTAACCTAACCAACCTAACCTAACAACTAACCTAACCTAATACCTAACCTGACCTAAACCTAACCTAACCTAACCTAACCTAACTGACCTAACCTAACCTAACCTAAACCTAACCTAACAACCTAACCTGACCTAACCTGACACCTAAACCTAACCTAACCTATACCTAACTACCTAACCTAACAACCTAATCTGACCTAACTGACCTAACCTGACCTAACTAACCTAACCTAACCTAAACCCAACCTAACCTAACCTAACCTAACCTAACCTAACCTAACCTAATCTAACTCTGACCTAACCTGACCTAACCATAACCTAACACTAATACCTAATCTGACCTAACCTGACCTAACCTAACCTAACCTAACTACTACCTAACATAACCTAACCTGACCTAACCTGACCTAACCTGACCTAACCTGACCTAACCTAACCTAACCTAACCTAACCTAACCTAACCTGACCTAACCTAACCTAACCTAGACCTAACCTAACCTAACTGACCTAAACCTAACCTGACCTAACCTAACCTAACCTAACCTAACCTAACCTAACCTAACCTAACCTAACCTAACCTAACCTGACTAACCTACCTAACCTAACCTACCTACCTAACCTAACCTAACCTAACCTAACTCTGACCTAACCTGACCTAACCTAACCTAACCTAACTGACCTAAACCTAAACCTAACCTAACCTAACCTAACTAACCTAACCTACCTAACCTAACCTAACCTAACCTAACCTAACCTAACCTAACCTAACCTAATCTGGCCTAACCTGACCTAACCTAACCTAACCTAATCTGACCTAACATAACCTAACCTGACCTAATCTGACCTAACCTGACCTAACCTGACCTGACCTAACCTAACCTAACCTAACCTAACCTAACCTAACCTAACCTAACCTAACCTAACCTAACCTAACCTAACCTAACCTAACCTACTAACCTAACCTAACCTAACGTAACGTAACCTAACCTAACCTAAACCTAACCTACTTAACCTAACCTAACCTAACCTAACCTAACCTAACCTAACTAACCTAACTTAACCTAACCTAACTTAACCTAACCTAACCTAACCTAACCTAACCTAACTAACCTAACTTAACCTAACCTAACTAACTTAACTAACCTAACCTAACCTAACCTAACCTAACCTAACCTAACCTAACTTAACCTAACCTAACCTAACCTAACCTAACCTAACCTAACCTAACCTGACCTAACCTAACCTAACCTAACGTAACCTAACCTAACCTAACCTAACCTAACTTAACCTAACCTAACCTAACCTAACCTAACCTAACCTAACCTAACTACCTAACCTAACCTAACCTAACTAAACTAACCTAACCTAACCTAACCTAACCTAACCTAACCTAACCTAACTTAACCTAACCTAACCTAACCTAACCTAACTTAACCTAACCTAACCTAACCTAACCTAACCTAACCTAACCTAACTTAAAACCTAACCTAACCTAACTTAACCTAACCTAACCTAACCTAACCTAACCTAACCTAACTTAACCTAACCTAACCTAACCTAACCTAACCTAACCTAACCTAACCTAACATACCTCGTTGTTTTTAAAGGTTCATGGTGTTACGCATTCTCTGAGGAACATCGCTACTGGTCTGCAAGACTTGGTACGTTGGGAGATAGCTCTCAACACCATGGAGGACTACACCAGATGTATCAACACATTCTACAATCGCTTCCTATTTTATCAGAAGCTCAAAGATAAGGCGAGTCTTTTATTTTCATTATAATAAGTGTTAGTCGGACTCGAGTCCTGGAGGTGAGAAGTACAGTTCTGCACTCTAAAGGAAGACTGGGAATATGTTGCAGTTTTTGAACTATAATGGCATTACTCTGACAAGACAGTGGTGGAGTGAGTGATGATGAAGGTTTTTTTTTTCTTGTCTTTCAGGCCACCCTGCCTCGGTGGGAAACGGCCGATGTGTTAATAAATAAAGAAAATTGCTTAATTTTGATGTATCAATCAGTCTTATTTCTTTTATTGTAGATAAATATTGGAAGACTTTCAGATTCATACTGAGCACCGAGGAACTAACTTCAGTAGAGATAATTTATGATATGGATATTGATCAGACTGGTTTAAAAAGACACGTAAGGGAACACTAGGACATATTTCTTAGAAAACGTTTCGGCCCTGTGACCTTGATGATAAGACCGAAACGTTCCCTAATATGTACACTCAGTGGCCACTGTATTAAATACACCTGTATACCTGTTCGTTAATGCAAATATCTAATCAGCTAATCACAGTAAGTGTCCGCGGCCCAAGACTGTTCAAATGCCTCCCAGCATACATAAAGGGGCTTACCAATAGACCCCTGGTTGTCTTCAAGAAGGCACTGGACAGGCATTTAAAGTCAGTACCTGACCAACCGGGCTGTGGTTCGTACGTCAGCTTGTGTGCGGCCAGCAGTAATAGCCTGGTTGATCAGACCCTGACCCACCATGAGGCCTGTTCTCAGACCGGGCCGCGGGGGCGTTGACCCCCGAAATCCTCCCCAGGTAAACTCCAGGTAATCAAGTGGCAGCACCTCAATGCCTAGAAGCATGTAGACATCATTAAGATGTCGGGTTGGTGTTCAGATTGAACATCAGAACGGGGAAGAAACGTGATCTAAGTAACTTGGACCGTGGAATGATTGTTGGTGCCAGATAGATGGGCTGGTTTCTGTATCTCAGAAACTGATGATTGAAGAACAGTCTCTGGAGTTTACAGAGAAAAACACTACACATCAAGTGAGTGACTGTTCTGTGAGCAAAAAATACGTTTACAAGAGAAGTCAGAGGAGAATATCCAGACTGGTTCAGGCTGACAGGAAGGCGACAGTAACTCAACCAAGCATTACAACTGGTATGCAGAAGAGCATCTGTGAATACACAACACATCGAACCCTGAAGTGGATGGGATACCATGGCAGAATACCACACCAGGTTCCACTCCTGTCAGCTAAGACCAGGAAACTGAGGCTAGTGTGAGCACAGGCTCGGCAAAACTGAGCAACTGAATACTGTAAAAATGTCGCTTGGCTGTGAATCACGATTTTTGCTGCAACATACAAATGGCAGGGTCAGAATTTAGCATAAACTAGAGATGTGGTGGAACGGGAGATTCACAGCATTGGCTTAAGGCAGTGGGGGGAATTGGACCTGCCTCGCATAGGCCATTAGGCCTGTTGCAGTGTTCCTTATTTCTTATGTTCTTATGAATGTGCAGCCAACGTATCAGTAGCAACTACGTGATGCTGTCATGTCAACATATACCAGGGTCTCTAAGGAATGTTTCCAGCACCTTGTTGAATCCAGGACACTAAGAATTCAGACTGTTCTGGGGGTAAAGAGAGGCTCTACCCAGTACTAAAGGGGTGTACTTAATAAAGTGACCACTGAGTGTATGTCCAAGTGTTTGATCAAGTGTCTCTAAATCACAGTTTATTAAACTAATTTTTTGTTAGTAGACAGAGTCACATAAAACACCTGGCTTCTTGCCCTTGGCTTCATTTTTTATCTCTATATTCTTTTGGCCGCTTTTCACAGACACATTCTCGTCAGTGGTCAGTCGTCAGTCGTCAGTGGTCAGTCGTCAGTCGTCAGTGGTCAGTCGTCACGTGAGGTCACAGACCCTGAGCTGCTTTGGGGATTAGCGTGGACGGTTACAAAGCATGGCTTGCTTCTGCAGTGTTTTAAAAACTGAGGTTGGAGAGTTGAAGGAGGAGGTCTTGCTTCTCCAGGAGGAGATTAGGAGGCTGAAGGTCCACCTCAATGGGTCTGGGAGAGAGTGTGAGGTGGCTGGAGTTGTGGGGAATGAGACTTCTAGCAATGAGGTGCAGTCTGTCTCTCGCTGTGAGGAGGCTGTAGTTGGGGAGGTAGCAACGGCTACCAGCAGTGAGGTGCAGCCCAGCACCTGCTACAAGTGGCGAGTTGTTCACAGTAATGGAGGCGCATCAGAGTAAGGAAAGTTAAGAGTGAAGATCTGAAGGTAGGAAATCGCTTCTCTGTTTCTCCAGGATGAATGTACTTCAGTGGCCAGTGAAGGTAAGGGTACTACTGCCCCTGCTAATGAAGGTAAGCGCATTCTTGTGGTTGGTGACTCTCAGGTAAGATATATTGACCGTGCTTTTTGTAATAGGAATAAGAAGATGAGAGATAGAGTGTGCTTCCCTGGAGCTGGTGTTGGGGACATTGTCAACAGGCTGGATAATATCATGTCAGGTAATGGGAACAAGCCCATTATCTGTCTCAGTGCTGGTGGAAATGATATTGGGAAGGGTAGGAGAGAAGAGCTGCTAGATAAGTACAGGTCAGCTATAGATTTCATTAAGTCTAAGGGAGGGATCCCAATCATATGTAGCATCTTGCCTAGAAGGGGAGTAGGAAATGAATGGTTGTCTAGGGCAATTGGTGTAAATTGCTGGCTAGACAGATACTGCAAGGAACTTGCAATCCCATTCATTGACAACTGGAACAACTTTTATGGCAAACATGATATGTGTGCAAGGGATGGGGTACATCTCTCTGGGGCAGGGGTGGTAGCACTTGCAGACTCGATTGAGAAGGCCATTGGTGAAATGCCTATGATTTTAAACTGATGGAGGATAGAGGTATGGGTGTGTGTGGGAAACAAGCAGGTTGCAACACTAGGGTTGGAAACAGTAAATGTATAAAAGGCATTCAGCATGAAGTTATAAATAAAGACAATAGAACAGGTCAGCAAACAAAGGGGGACAGCAGAGGGCAGCAAGGGACTAGCTCCCTTAAGGTTTACTATACTAATAGCAGGAGTGTTAGAAATAAGATAGATGAGCTAAGATTAATTGCAAGTGCAGGAAACATAGATATTATTGCTATAACAGAGACCTGGCTCAATCTGAAAGATAGAGAGATGCCCTCTGAATGTCACATACAAGGCTATAAATTATTCCACACTGACAGGGTCAACAGGAAAGGTGGTGGAGTAGCGATGTAGTCAGAGACAATTTAAATTGTTGTGTTAGACAAGATATTAAATTAGAAGCGTCAGCCACTGAATCTGTTTGGTTACAGCTTCTCGAGGGCCGAGAAAAACTAATTTTGGGTGTGATTTACAGGGCCCCAAATCTTGATAGGGAGTGCAGTAAACTTCTATGGGACGAAATTCGTAAGGCATCTACATACGAAAATGTTGTGCTAATGGGAGATTTCAACTATAGACAGATTGACTGGAGCAATTTGACAGGAAATTTAGAGTCGGGTGACTTTCTTGATACGATCCAGGATTGTTTTTTAAAACAGTTTGTGACAGAGCCAACTAGGGGAAATAACCTCCTTGACTTGGTTCTTGCCAGTAGGGAAACACTAATTAATAATCTTGAGGTTAATGATGAGCTTGGGGAGAGTGATCACAAATCACTCAGTTTTAATATATCATGGAATTCCCCTAATAATGGCAATCAAGTCTCCGTCCCTGACTTTCGCTTGGCTGATTTCATAGGACTGAAAAATTACTTAGGTGGGCTGAACTGGAATGACCTGACTAAGGGTCAGGTAGGTGGTGATGGTTGCCGATATGATGCTTTCCAGGGCATAGTTCTAGCTGCTCAGTCAAATTATGTTCCAAATAGGGAAATCAGATCAAACAAAAATGATCCTAAATGGATGAACAATAGATTAAAATATCTGATTGGTCAAAAGAGAGGCATATATAGGCAAATCAAAAGAGGAGAGGGGCAATTAAGAAATCGATATATTCAGTTAAAGAGAGAAATAAAAAAGGGAATTAGAAAAGCAAAAAGAGATTATGAGGTTAAAGTTGCAAAAGAATCGAAGACTAACCCAAAAGGATTCTTTCAGGTATACAGAAGTAAGATCAGGGACAAGATAGGCCCACTCAAAAGTTCCTCGGGTCAGCTCACTGACAGTGATAAGGAAATGTGTAGAATTTTTAACACATACTTCCTCTCAGTTTTTACACAGGAGGATACCAGCGATATTCCAGTAATGATAAATTATGTAGAACAGGACGATAATAAACTGTGCACTATTAGGGTCACAAGTGACATGGTCCTTAGGCAAATAGATAAATTAAAACCTAACAAATCCCCAGGCCCTGATGAACTGTATGCAAGGGTTCTAAAGGAATGTAAAGAGGAGCTTAGCACACCTTTGGCTAATCTTTTCAACATATCACTACAAACTGGCATGGTGCCAGATAAGTGGAAAATGGCAAATGTGATACCTATTTTCAAAACAGGTGACAGGTCCTTAGCTTCGAACTATAGACCAATAAGCCTAACCTCCATAGTGGGAAAATTTATGGAATCAATAATTGCCGAGGCAGTTCGTAGCCATCTTGAAAAGCATAAATTAATCAACGAATCTCAGCATGGTTTTACAAAGGGGCGTTCCTGCCTTACGAATTTATTAACTTTTTTCACTAAGGTATTTGAGGAGGTAGATCATGGTAATGAATATGATATTGTGTATATGGACTTCAGTAAGGCTTTTGACAGGGTCCCACATCAGAGACTATTGAGGAAAAGCACATGGAATAGGAGGAGAAATTTTTTCCTGGATAGAGGCTTGGTTGACAAATAGGCAGCAGAGAGTTTGCATAAATGGGGAGAAATCAGAGTGGGGAAGCGTCACGAGCGGTGTTCCACAGGGGTCAGTGTTGGGCCCCCTGCTGTTCACAATCTACATAAACGACATAGATGAGGGCATAAAGAGCGACATCGGCAAGTTTGCCGATGACACCAAAATAGGCCGTCGAATTCATTCTGACGAGGACATTCGAGCACTCCAGGAAGATTTGAATAGACTGATGCAGTGGTCGGAGAAGTGGCAGATGCAGTTTAATATAGACAAATGCAAAGTTCTAAATGTTGGACAGGACAATAACCATGCCACATATAAACTAAATAATGTAGATCTTAATATTACGGATTGCGAAAAAGATTTAGGAGTTCTGGTTAGCAGTAATCTGAAACCAAGACAACAGTGCATAAGTGTTCGCAATAAAGCTAATAGAATCCTTGGCTTCATATCAAGAAGCATAAATAATAGGAGTCCTCAGGTTGTTCTTCAACTCTATACATCCTTGGTTAGGCCTCATTTAGATTATGCTGCACAGTTTTGGTCACCGTATTACAGAATGGATATAAATTCTCTGGAAAATGTACAAAGGAGGATGACAAAGATGATCCCATGTATCAGAAACCTTCCCTATGAGGATAGACTAAGGGCCCTGAAACTGCACTCTCTAGAAAGACGTAGAATTAGGGGGGATATGATTGAGGTGTATAAATGGAAGACAGGAATAAATAAAGGGGATGTAAATAGTGTGCTGAAAATATCTAGCCTAGACAGGACTCGCAGCAATGGTTTTAAGTTGGAAAAATTCAGATTCAGGAAGGATATAGGAAAGTACTGGTTTGGTAATAGAGTTGTGGATGAGTGGAACAAACTCCCAAGTACCGTTATAGAGGCCAGAACGTTGTGTAGCTTTAAAAATAGGTTGGATAAATACATGAGTAGATGTGGGTGGGTGTGAGTTAGACCTGATAGCTTGTGCTACCAGGTCGGTTGCCGTGTTCCTCCCTTAAGTCAATGTGACCTGACCTGACTAGGTTGGGTGCATTGGCTTAAGCCGGTAGGAGACTTGGACCTGCCTCGCATGGGCCAGTAGGCCTTCTGCAGTGTTCCTTCGTTCTTATGTTCTTATGTTCTTAACTTGACAGTGAGGAATGCTGTGCCTTTCTGGTTTATTTTTCTTAACTTCTTTATATCCTTGACAACAAGTCGACCTGAGCCTTGCATCCAGGTCTACGACTGAGGTGTGTACTCACCTATTTGTGGTTGCAGGGGTCGAGACATAGCTCCTGGCCCCGCCTCTTCACTGATGGCTACTAGGTCCTCTTCCTGCTCTATAAGCTTTATCATACTTCGTCTTAAAACTAGTATATATGGTTCCTGCCTCCACTACATCACTTGCCAGAATATTCCACTTCCTGACAGCTCTATAACTAAAGAAATACTTCCTAACATCTCTTTGACTCATCTGAATCTTGAGCTTCAGCGCCCCCTACGGGCTTGTCAAAAATATTGCAATTGTGTATAACGTTTCTAAGTAAAGAATTTGTTGTACTGATGTTTTAAAAAAAATTATATTGACTATGTGCTTGGATTGGAACTTTCAGTGTATATTGAGTGGCTTGTGGCTTACTCTTAGTGCCTTCGGTTCTAACTGAAGGACCCGGTTTCGATCCTGGGTGAGGTGAAGGCTTTAGATATGTTTCCCTACACTTATCGCCCACTGTTCACCTAGTAGTAATTAGGTACATGAGTGTTAGCTATCTGTTGTGGGTCGCATCCTGAGAAAGAGACCATGGATCCCTAATGACAGACTGACTGGCTTTCTCAGGATGTCCCGGCTTACTAACCCACTTGGTTAATAATGCAAATAAAGTCTTGTTCTTCATCTTAACAGTAGTGAACTCTGTTGACAGGTAGAGAACCACACACTGCTTGACTTTGCCAACGCCATCGTGTCCCACGACCCACACTCAGTGACATCCTCGATGGTTTACCTACACTCCATGGCTGCACCAGAAGCCGCACACACAGCCAACTCTCCTCTCTTTACACATCTCCAGGTACGATGCCCCCAGTTGCAGGTACGATGCCCCCAGTTGCAGGTACGATGCCACATCCGCAGGTATGACACCCCTATTTGCAGGCACGATGCCCCTGTTTGCAGGCACGATGCCCCCCACTTGCAGTACGATTCAGCTATTTGCAAGTACGATGCCACATTTGCAGGTGTGACACCCACATTTGCAAGTACGATGCCACATTTGCAGGTGTGACACCCACATTTGCAAGTACGATGCCACATTTGCAGGTGTGACACCCACATTTGCAAGTACGATGCCACATTTGCAGGTGTGACACCCACATTTGCAAGTACGATGCCACATTTGCAGGTGTGACACCCACATTTGCAAGTATGATGCCACATTTGCAGGTGTGACACCCACATTTGCAAGTATGATGCCACATTTGCAGGTGTGACACCCACATTTGCAAGTACGATGCCACATATGCAGGTGTGACACCCACATTTGCACGTATGATGCCACATTTGATATCCTCGGATAAGTTAGACACATGTTCAATAATTAGGTAACTTTATTCCGAAACGTTTCGTGTACACAGTAGGCTTCTTCAGTCGAGTACAGAGGTGTCAGCAGAAACAGTAGAGATGTAAAGATGATGTAATCAGTCCATCACCCGTGATGACTTAGTTTTGTGGTGGTCAGTCCCTCAGCCTGGAGAAGAGTCATATAAATAAAAACGAATGAATATAATTTAAAAAAATTTGGATCCTTTTTGTAATCACCCGGGGGCGTTGACCCCCGAAACCCTCTCCAGGTATACTCCATGTATACTCCAGGTATACACAGTACCGTGTTTATACTGATATATAATGAGTAACAATGTGAAACATAAGCCAGTGTTCTGACAGTATAATCAATTACTGAACTACAGTTGAGAAAACCTGACACAAGATTAATGGGAATAATGGTACTCTTTTTTATATTTCAAAATATTACTGAACTGAGGCTTCAGACTGGAGGGTGTGCAGAGAACCTTCAATGCACATATAAATTCTATCAAACACTACTAGGAACGCTTGGTAGCATTTGTACTCGCTGGAACACAGGCGAGAGAGATATATCATAATCTACACTTGGTCCGTATCTGCACACAGAAATCACTCCCTACGAAAGTAAAAGACTGGGCAAGCGGTGCAAAATACTCCCAACGAAAAGTAGGGGCGCCATTGGTACACTAAGAGAAAACACCATAATTGTCCGAGACCCAAGACTGTACAACAGCCTCCCACCATGCATAAGGGAAATTACCAATAGACCCCTGGCTGCCTTCAAGAGGGAGCTGGACAGATACTTAAGTCGGTGCCGGATCAGCCGGGCTGTGGTTCGTACTTTGGACTACGTGCGGCCAGCAGTAACAGCCTGGTTGATCAAGCCCTGATCCACCGGGAGGCCTGGTCGTGGACCGGGCCGCGGGGGCGTTGATCCGCAGAATACTCTCCAGGTAGACTCCAGATAGCCAATTGTTAGAATGGACTTCGAATGTTCATTACATAAATCTGTGCGATATTTGGACTCAAATTAGAATAAGCAACAAAATCCTTAACTTTTAAGTGACTGAAGATGAGGGTGTTTTAGTTTTAATATTATAAATATTTCAAGTCGGTGTGGGCTGCATCCTGTGGCGGGCCGCATGTGGCCCGCTGGCCGCAGTTTGGGGACCCTTGTTCCACACTATGGAGCAAAACTCTTCTCCAGGCTGAGGGACTGACCACCTCAAAACTAATTCTTCAAGGGTGGTGGACTAATTACATCGCCTTCACATCTCTACTGCTTCTCCTGCCTCTTCTGAACTTGACTGAAGAAGCCTACTGTGTAGGCGAAACGTTTCGGAATAAAGTTACCTAAGTGTTGGACATGTGTCATATCAGCGTCTGGGTATTGTATACCATTATCATAGTCAACCTCTGATACCCTGGTACTGAGGTATTATTGTGTACCATTATCATAGTCAACCTCTGATACCCTGGTACTAAGGTATTATTGTATACCATTATCATAGTCAACCTCTGATACCCTGGTACTAAGGTATTATTGTATACCATTATCATAGTCAACCTCTGATACCCTGGTACTGAGGTATTATTGTATACCATTATCATAGTCAACCTCTGATACCCTGGTACTGAGGTATTATTGTATACCATTATCATAGTCAACCTCTGATACCCTGGTACTGAGGTATTATTGTATACCATTATCATAGTCAACCTCTGATACCCTGGTACTGAGGTATTATTGTATACCATTATCATAGTCAACCTCTGATACCCTGGTACTGAGGTATTATTGTATACCATTATCATAGTCAACCTCTGATACCCTGGTACTAAGGTATTATTGTATACCATTATCATAGTCAACCTCTGATACCCTGGTACTAAGGTATTATTGTATACCATTATCATAGTCAACCTCTGATACCCTGGTACTGAGGTATTATTGTATACCATTATCATAGTCAACCTCTGATACCCTGGTACTGAGGTATTATTGTATACCATTATCATAGTCAACCTCTGATACCCTGGTACTGAGGTATTATTGTATACCATTATCATAGTCAACCTCTGATACCCTGGTACTGAGGTATTATTGTATACCATTATCATAGTCAACCTCTGATACCCTGGTACTGAGGTATTATTGTATACCATTATCATAGTCAACCTCTGATACCCTGGTACTGAGGTATTATTGTATACCATTATCATAGTCAACCTCTGATACCCTGGTACTAAGGTATTATTGTATACCATTATCATAGTCAACCTCTGATACCCTGGTACTAAGGTATTATTGTATACCATTATCATAGTCAACCTCTGATACCCTGGTACTGAGGTATTATTGTATACCATTATCATAGTCAACCTCTGATACCCTGGTACTGAGGTATTATTGTATACCATTATCATAGTCAACCTCTGATACCCTGGTACTGAGGTATTATTGTATACCATTATCATAGTCAACCTCTGATACCCTGGTACTGAGGTATTATTGTATACCATTATCATAGTCAACCTCTGATACCCTGGTACTGAGGTATTATTGTATACCATTATCATAGTCAACCTCTGATACCCTGGTACTAAGGTATTATTGTATACCATTATCATAGTCAACCTCTGATACCCTGGTACTGAGGTATTATTTGTTCTTACTTATCTTTTCTTTTTACATTTTAATGTGTGGATATTATTATAAGTGTGTAGAGACAGGACGAGGAACAACACGACACATCTGGAAAGTTGAAGAAACTCTTGAATTGACCACAAAATTGGTTCATTATTCATAATTATATCTTGTACCATTTATATTAACTGTTTACTGTTGGGTTATAGTTAACATTGTATATGTTATTGAATCATTAGATATGTAAATCACTGTTCTAAAAATTATGTACCTAAAATCCTTCTCAGTAAATGTCATTTTAAGTCACACACACACACACACACACACACACACACACACACACACACACACACACACACACACACACACACACACACACACACACACACGTGAATGAATGAGTCGAATGAATGAATAATGAGTCTCACAGAGATGATAACAGATGCGATCTTCCCGGTTGGATATTAGATAATGGGAAACGATTGAGTGAATAGAGGAGTTGTAATCAGAGGCTAGTGGAGTTTCGAGGATATAATAGGAATAGACAGAGGGGGAAGCAGATGACTAAATAGTAAGAACTACTCAAGACTGGAGGGTGCGAGGGTGGTGACGGCAGTGATGTACAACCCTCCAGTAAAGAGCAAGAAACTAAGACACGAATATGACAATAGATCAGAGTGACCACAAGTGTCCACCTGACCAACACAAAACTTGCATTAACAACTTTCACTCTTAATTTTACATCCATGTATAATTAATTATTATTCTCATAAGAAAAGAATGTAAAAATTTTTTCTAATAAATTTTACCGTAAAACGTCGACAAAACTTTATCCAACTAGTTAACTTTATCCAACTAGTTAACTTTACCTAACTAGTTAACTTTATCCAACTAGTTAACTTTATCCAACTAGTTAACTTTACCTAACTAGTTAACTTTACCCAACTAGTTAACTTTACCCAACTAGTTAACTTTACCTAACTAGTTAACTTTACCTAACTAGTTAACTTTATCCAACTAGTTAACTTTACCTAACTAGTTAACTTTACCCAACTAATTAACTTTACCTAACTAGTTAACTTTATCCAACTAGTTAACTTTACCTAACTAGTTAACTTTACCCAACTAGTTAACTTTACCTAACTAGTTAACTTTACCCAACTAGTTAACTTTACCTAACTAGTTAACTTTACCCAACTAGTTAACTTTATCTAACTAGTTAACTTTACCCAACTAGTTAACTTTGCCCAACTAGTTAACTTTACCTAACTAGTTAACTTTACCTAACTAGTTAACTTTATCTAACTAGTTAACTTTACCCAACTAGTTAACTTTACCCAACTAGTTAACTTTACCCAACTAGTTAACTTTACCCAATTAGTTAACTTTACTCAACTAGTTAACTTTACCCAACTAGTTAACTTTACCCAACTAGTTAACTTTACCCAACTAGTTAACTTTACCTAACTAGTTAACTTTACCCAACTAGTTAACTTTACCTAACTAGTTAACTTTACCCAACTAGTTAACTTTACCCAACTAGTTAACTTTACCCAACTAGTTAACTTTACCTAACTAGTTAACTTTACCTAACTAGTTAACTTTACCCAACTAGTTAACTTTACCCAACTAGTTAACTTTACCCAACTAGTTAACTTTACCTAACTAGTTAACTTTACCCAACTAGTTAACTTTACCCAACTAGTTAACTTTACCCAACTAGTTAACTTTACCTAACTAGTTAACTTTACCCAACTAGTTAACTTTACCCAACTAGTTAACTTTACCCAACTAGTTAACTTTACCCAACTAGTTAACTTTACCCAACTAGTTAACTTTACCCAACTAGTTAACTTTACCCAACTAGTTAACTTTACCTAACTAGTTAACTTTACCCAACTAGTTAACTTTACCCAACTAGTTAACTTTACCCAACTAGTTAACTTTACCCAACTAGTTAACTTTACCCAACTAGTTAACTTTACCCAACTAGTTAACTTTACCCAACTAGTTAACTTTACCCAACTAGTTAACTTTACCCAACTAGTTAACTTTACCCAACTAGTTAACTTTACCCAACTAGTTAACTTTACCCAACTAGTTAACTTTACCCAAATAGTTAACTTTACCCAACTAGTTAACTAAAATGGTGAGATTTTGTAAATATAAATTTACCGCAGATCAAGTATAAATGATTTTTTAGGTGGAAAAAACCAAAATACTGATGTTCCTTTGATATAGAGAAAAGTAATTAACCACTGAAAATGATGGTTAAAGGCGAGATATTTTTATTTTGAAAGTTGATGAGAGTTGAGATATCAAAATCAAAATCTATTATATTAATTGTGTGTCTATACTTGAACACTATATATACTAAATTGTCCACTTATTGAGGGATATAGAAATTGCATAATAACCTATTTAATATGTCAAGATACCTTATTAATGAAAATAAGACACCGGATATGTTAAGCAAATTTCATATATTTGCTTGTAACAGGTAAGTGAACTGTAGATATAAATCTATATATACTCCTGTTAACCCTTTTGAGACATAGTTTCTAGGTCTTTTGTGTATCCAATGGAAATAAGTCAATTTGACTTTTTTGGGTCATCCTACATTCTCTACACATATGCTGCTATGTATGATAATCTATGTAACTGTATTTGTGTATACCTGAATAAATTTACTCGCGTTACCCTCCACAGGATGGATATAATTATTATTATAATCAAAAAGAAGCGCTAAGCCACAAGGGCTATACTAGTTTTTAGTTTAATATGTTTATTATGCACCCCATACCCATCCTGTGGGCGGTAGTCAAAGGATTACAGAGGTACATAATTGGTCCAGGGACTGGGCCTCAAAGTTTTGATAGCTGAGCAAGTTACAGAGGTAATGAATTCACAATTTACAAAGGTAATGAACTCACAATTTACAAAGGTAATGAACTCCAGGTAGGTCTAGTCACAATCATGACAAGTTACAAAGGTGCTATACAGCAGGATGGATATAAGGTGCACTATACTGGCCACTTCGGTGGCAAAATATGTATCTATACTGTTGAATACTTTCGTGTCTGTCTCGTAAATCATATTTTACTGGTGTTATGTTTTGACAAGTTTCTTTTACCAGTTGCCAAGCAAAGTGAATGATCCCAAGAGCGTGTACAGTGTGTCTGGGAGAGTTACAACCAAGACAGCCTTTTATAACCTGTTGAAGAGTGTTGTGGAGTGGGAGGACATGCCAGCAGCCAGGCCTAGCTTGTTCATCATGCTCGGTGATGCTCTTAAAGTGAGTAATGCTCAGAGTTGTGTAGAACACTTAAGAACATAAGAAAGAAGGAACACCGCAGCAGGCCTACTGGCCCATGCGAGGCAGGTCCAGTTCTCCCGCCTTAACTTAGTCAGGTCAGTCACATTCACTTAAGGAATGAGCACGGCATCTGACCTAATAGCACAAGCTAGTCAGGTCCAACTTACACCCACCCACAACCATTCATGTATTCAACCTATTTTTAAAACTACACAACGTCTTAGCTTCTATGATGGTACTCAGGAGTTTGTTCCACACATCCATAACTTTATTACCAAACCAGTGCTTTTATATATATATAATATATATATATATATATATATATATATATATATATATATATATATATATATATATATATATATATATGTATATATATATATATATATATATATATATATATACAGAACAAGCCACATGGGATTTAAATCTTTAGCTTAAGATCTTTCGCACTCTCGGGCGTCGTCAGGAGCTATGCAATGTTGCAAGACAGCAACAGATAGGAGTGGAAATTTTCTGAGGTTAGGCAGAAGATAGCAGTGGTAACCCATGTCACTCCGTGACGTGGGTTACCACTGCTTATCCATTACTTTACAAGTTGCAGTATCTGCAGTTTTCCCGGATACTTTCCTTAGATTGATGTTTTTCTTAAAACCTTGATATAACTACTTGCACTAATTATTACACAACCACCTCTCAAAGGTAACTTAAAATTATTTAAATCTTTTCCAAGATGCAACGATAATTAACAATGTCAGAAAACCCATATCATTTATAATGTTTTATTTAGGTATTGTTGTTTATAAGTTCAGATTGTAATGATGCCAGCAACACATGTACGTTAATAATAATATTAATATTGAGTTTCTTATTCGTGTAACGACAGATGAGTGATGTGTGTCAGCTGCGTCAGTCAAAACAACAGCTGATGAAAGCTCTGCACCAGCTGCTGACACTGGCACAAGCTAGGGGCTACATCATGCTGGAATTTGCCTGGATGTTGCTCAGAGTTCATGACCAGGGTGAGTCTTGTGTTACTCAGAGTTCATGACCAGGGTGAGTCTTGTGTTACTCAGTCATGACCAGGGTGAGTCTTGTGTTACTCAGAGTGCATGACCAGGTGAGTCTTGTGTTACTCAGAGTGCATGACCAGGGTGAGTCTTGTGTTACTCAGAGTTCATGACCAGGGTGAGTCTTGTGTTACTCAGAGTTCATGACCAGGGTGAGTCTTGTGTTACTCAGAGTGCATGACCAGGGTGAGTCTTGTGTTACTCAGAGTTCATGACCATGGTGAGTCTTGTGTTCCGATTCATGATCAGGTGAGCTTGGTACTCAGAGTTCATGACCAGGTCAGTCTTGTGTTACTCAGAGTTCATGACCAGGGTCAGTCTTGTGTTACTCAGAGTTCATGACCAGGGTCAGTCTTGTGTTACTCAGAGTTCATGACCAGGGTGAGTCTTGTGTTACTCAGAGTTCATGACCAGGGTCAGTCTTGTGTTACTCAGAGTTCATGACCAGGGTGAGTCTTGTGTTACTCAGAGTTCATGACCAGGGTCAGTCTTGTGTTACTCAGAGTTCATGACCAGGGTCAGTCTTGTGTTACTCAGAGTTCATGACCAGGGTGAGTCTTGTGTTACTCAGAGTTCATGACCAGGTCAGTCTTGTGTTACTCAGAGTTCATGACCAGGGTGAGTCTTGTGTTACTCAGAGTTCATGACCAGGTCAGTCTTGTGTTACTCAGAGTTTCATGACCAGGGTGATCTTGTGTACTCAGAGTTCATGACCAGGGTGAGTCTTGTGTTTACTCAGAGTTCATGACCAGGTGAGTCTTGTGTTACTCAGAGTTCATGACCAGGGTGAGTCTTGTGTTACTCAGAGTTCATGACCAGGGTGAGTCTTGTGTTACTCAGAGTTCATGACCAGGGTGAGTCTTGTGTTACTCAGAGTTCATGACCAGGGTGAGTCCTTGTGTTACTCAAGTTCATGACCAGGGTGAGTCTTGTGTTACTCAGAGTTCATGACCAGGGTGAGTCTTGTGTTACTCAGAGTTCATGACCAGGGTGAGTCTTGTGTTACTCAGAGTTCATGACCAGGTGAGTCTTGTGTTACTCAGAGTCATGACCAGGGTGAGTCTTGTGTTACTCAGAGTTCATGACCAGGTGAGTCTTGTGTTACTCAGAGTTCATGACCAGGTGAGTCTTGTGTTACCAGAGTTCATGACCAGGGTGAGTCTTGTGTACTCAGAGTTCATGACCAGGGTGAGTCTTGTGTTACTCAGAGTTCATGACCAGGGTGAGTCTTGTGTTACTCAGAGTTCATGACCAGGGTCAGTCTTGTGTTACTCAGAGTTCATGACCAGGGTCAGTCTTGTGTTACTCAGAGTGCATGACCAGGGTCAGTCTTGTGTTACTCAGAGTTCATGACCAGGGTCAGTCTTGTGTTACTCAGAGTTCATGACCAGGGTGAGTCTTGTGTTACTCAGAGTTCATGACCAGGGTCAGTCTTGTGTTACTCAGAGTTCATGACCAGGGTGAGTCTTGTGTTACTCAGAGTTCATGACCAGGGTGAGTCTTGTGTTACTCAGAGTTCATGACCAGGGTCAGTCTTGTGTTACTCAGATTCATGACCAGGGTGAGTCTCTTGTGTTACTCAGAGTTCATGACCAGGGTCAGTCTTGTGTTACTCAGAGTTCATGACCAGGGTGAGTCTTGTGTACTCAGAGTTCATGACCAGGGTCAGTCTTGTGTTACCTCAGAGTTCATGACCAGGGTCAGTCTTGTGTTACTCAGAGTGCATGACCAGGTTCAGTCTTGTGTTACTCAGAGTGCATGACCAGGGTCAGTCTTGTGTTACTCAGAGTTCATGACCAGGGTGAGTCTTGTGTTACTCAGAGTTCATGACCAGGGTCAGTCTTGTGTTACTCAGAGTTCATGACCAGGATCAGTCTTGTGTTACTCAGAGTTCATGACCAGGGTGAGTCTTGTGTTACTCAGAGTTCATGACCAGGGTGAGTCTTGTGTTACTCAGAGTTCATGACCAGGGTGAGTCTTGTGTTACTCAGAGTTCATGACCAGGGTGAGTCTTGTGTTACTCAGAGTTCATGACCAGGTGAGTCTGTGTTACTCAGAGTTCATGACCAGGGTGAGTCTTGTGTTACTCAGAGTCATGACCAGGGTGAGTCTTGTGTTACTCAGAGTTCATGACCAGGGTGAGTCTTGTGTTACTCAGAGTTCATGACCAGGGTGAGTCTTGTTGTTACCAGAGTTCATGACCAGGGTGAGTCTTGTGTTACTCAGAGTTCATGACCAGGTGAGTCTTGTGTTACTCAGAGTTCATGACCAGGGTGAGTCTTGTGTTACTCAGAGTTCATGACCAGGGTGAGTCTTGTGTTACTCAGAGTTCATGACCAGGGTGAGTCTTGTGTTACTCAGAGTTCATGACCAGGGTGAGTCTTGTGTTACTCAGAGTTCATGACCAGGGTGAGTCTTGTGTTACTCAGAGTTCATGACCAGGGTGAGTCTTGTGTTACTCAGAGTTCATGACCAGGTGAGTCTTGTGTTACTCAGAGTTCATGACCAGGGTCAGTCTTGTGTTACTCAGAGTTCATGACCAGGGTCAGTCTGTGTTACTCAGAGTTCATGACCAGGGTGAGTCTTGTGTTACTCAGAGTTCATGACCAGGGTCAGTCTTGTGTTACTCAGAGTTCATGACCAGGGTGAGTCTTGTGTTACTCAGATTTTTCATGACCAGGGTGAGTCTTGTGTTACTCAGAGTTCATGACCAGGTGAGTCTTGTGTTACTCAGAGTGCATGACCAGGGTCAGTCTTGTGTTACTCAGAGTGCATGACCAGGGTCAGTCTTGTGTTACTCAGAGTGCATGACCAGGGTCAGTCTTGTGTTACTCAGAGTTCATGACCAGGGTGAGTCTTGTGTTACTCAGAGTTCATGACCAGGGTCAGTCTTCTGTTACTCAGAGTTCATGACCAGGGTGAGTCTTGTGTTACTCAGAGTGCATGACCAGGGTCAGTCTTGTGTTACTCAGAGTGCATGACCAGGGTCAGTCTTGTGTTACTCAGAGTGCATGACCAGGGTCAGTCTTGTGTTACTCAGAGTGCATGACCAGGGTCAGTCTTGTGTTACTCAGAGTGCATGACCAGGTGAGTCTTGTGTTACTCAGAGTGCATGACCAGGATCAGTCTTGTGTTACTCAGAGTGCATGACCAGGGTGAGTCTTGTGTTACTCAGAGTTCATGACCAGGGTGAGTCTTGTGTTACATAAGAACATAAGAACATAAGAACGAAGGAACACTGCAGAAGGCCTACTGGCCCATGCGAGGCAGGTCCAAGTCTCCTACCGGCTTAAGCCAATGCACCCAACCTAGTCAGGTCAGGTCACATTGACTTAAGGGAGGAACACGGCAACCGACCTGTTAGCACAAGCTATCAGGTCTAACTCACACCCACCCACATCTACTCATGTATTTATCCAACCTATTTTTAAAGCTACACAACGTTCTGGCCTCTATAACGGTACTTGGGAGTTTGTTCCACTCATCCACAACTCTATTACCAAACCAGTACTTTCCTGTATCCTTCCTGAATCTGAATTTTTCCAACTTAAAACCATTGCTGCGAGTCCTGCCTAGGCTAGATATTTTCAGCACACTATTTACATCCCCTTTATTTATTCCTGCCTTCCACTTATACACCTCAATCATATCCCCCCTAATTCTACGCCTTTCTAGAGAGTGCAGTTTCAGGGCCCTTAGTCTATCCTCATAGGGAAGGTTTCTGATACATGGGATCATCTTTGTCATCCTCCTTTGTACATTTTCCAGAGAATTTATATCCATTCTGTAATACGGTGACCAAAACTGTGCAGCATAATCTAAATGAGGCCTAACCAAGGATGTATAGAGTTGAAGAACAACCTGAGGACTCCTATTATTTATGCTTCTTGATATGAAGCCAAGGATTCTATTAGCTTTAATTGCGAACACTTATGCACTGTTGTCTTGGTTTCAGATTACTGCTAACCAGAACTCCTAAATCTTTTTCGCAATCCGTAATATTAAGATCTACATTATTTAGTTTATATGTGGCATGGTTATTGTCCTAGTCCAACAATTAGAACTTTGCATTTGTCTATATTAAACTGCATCTGCCACTCTTTTTTCCGACCACTGCATCAGTCTATTCAAATCTTCCTGGAGTGCTCGAATGTCCTCGTCAGAATGAATTCGACGGCCTATTTTGGTGTCATCGGCAAACTTGCCGATGTCGCTCTTTATGCCCTCATCAATGTCGTTTATGTAGATTGTGAACAGCAGGGGCCCAACACTGACCCCTGTGGAACACCGCATCGTGACGCTTCCCCACTCTGATTTCTCCCCATTTATGCAAACTCTCTGCTGCCTATTTGTCAACCATGCCTCTATCCAGAAAAAATTTTCTCCTATTCCATGTGCTTTAATTTTCCTCAATAGTCTCTGATGTGGGACCCTGTCAAAAGCCTTACTGAAGTCCATATACACAATATCATATTCATTACCATGATCTACCTCCTCAAATACCTAGTGAAAAAAGTTAATAAATTCGTAAGGCAGGAACGCCCCTTTGTAAAACCATGCTGAGATTCGTTGATTAATTTATGCTTTTCAAGGTGGCTACGAACTGCCTCGGCAATTATTGATTCCATAATTTTCCCACTATGGAGGTTAGGCTTATTGGTCTATAGTTCGAAGCTAAGGACCTGTCACCTGTTTTGAAAATAGGTATCACATTTGCCATTTTCCACTTATCTGGCACCATGCCAGTTTGTAGTGATATGTTGAAAAGATTAAAAAAGGTGTGCTAAGCTCCTCTTACATTCCTTTAGAACCCTTGCATACAGTTCATCAGGCCTGGGGATTTGTTAGGTTTTAATTTATCTATTTGCCTAAGGACCATGTCACTTGTGACCCTAATAGTGCACAGTTTATTATCGTCCTGTTCTACATAATTTATCATTACTGAAATATCG